TTGTGGCTGCATGAGTAATGTCCTGTGTTCTTTGTGCTGTGGCTGCATGCGTAATGTCCTGTGCGTTGTGCTGTGGCTGCATGTGTAATGTACTGTGCCCTGTGCGTTGTGCTGGTGTGTGTTGTGCCCTGTTTGTGTTTGTTTGCGTTATGCAGGGCAACTAGTGGCGAGTAACTTTTCAGGCCTGGCTAGTGGCTCATGACCTGAAATTTTGAGCCCTGGCATAAATGTTTAACTGTGGTCTCTTAAGATGCAAGTAGTGTTTTAGGTGGTGTTACAAAACCATGACATATTTACTGATCAGCCAACGTGAAACCATTAAATTGGTGCTTGCAAATGCATTTTGACGCATTCTCAATCGGGGTACTTCAGTTCCCGGGCTGCTGTCCCAGCAAATGTCAACACTTTGTGGTAGTGCTGAGTGCTGGTCCACTTCCTCGTGCCCAGTTCCCCGTGGCATGTAAGGCCACCGATCATAGTGATGTGCCAGTTGGATTCATCCCTACTAAGGGCCATGAGTTGCTGTTTACAGCAGCCTGAAACTATGGGCCCAAATTATAGAAGTTTGCACAAAGTACACATAGTATCATTACATGCATGCATAGTAGTTCTGTCAGTACCCTCTGCTGTACTTCAATAGGATTTCTCTCTACTCTCTTTTGTTGCGCTTTGACTTAAAAGTTAAAATTTGGCTTCACATTTCAGGGTATGAAACGCTTTGAGGCTAGAAAAGCAGTCTTAGAGTCTCTGAAACAAAAAGGACTATTTAAGGAGATAAAGGACAATCCTATGGTGGTCCCAGTATGCAGGTAACATGTTCATACAGTACTCTGATCAGCTGACTATTCAATGAAACATTTTTAATGGATGTGAGATCAGAGTGGTTTTTGGTCCTTATGAATTATTAAATTTTGTTTTCTGCATTTCCTTCTTTCTTCTTTAGTCGATCCAAAGATATTGTGGAGCCCCTATTAAAGCCTCAGTGGTATGTACGCTGCGATGAGATGGGGAAGAGGGCAGCAGATGTTGTGCGGGATGGACACCTGTCAATCAAGCCTGAATTCCACACCAAGACATGGTTCAGTTGGATGGACAACATCAGGTGACTAGTAATGTGATCACTGCACCATTAGCCTAAAGGAAGCTTATGTCACCAGCGCTTGGGATTCACACAGCTCTGGTTCTCCTATGGACCAACTAAATTTTATATAAATATGTAGGTTGCCATTGCTGAGTTCTTTCAGAAAATGCTCATTGACTGGTTGTCTATGGTGTCAATGGTTCCCGCGTCACTGACCTAGGACAAGCATGGTGCAACTGAAGCCAGAAATTCAGATCTGTAAACTTATTCTAGATTAGTGACTAAAACCTATTGAAGGCATCAGTTTGGCATGCCAACTCTCATTTTCAGAAGCATTGGTCAGCAGTGGCTTCCAACATATTAAAGTCAGTACAAGTTTTGTTTAATTAGCTGAGGGCTGTAAAGCAATGAACAGCTCTTCTGTGTGTGGAGAGAGTTCAGCTCATCCTGAAAAATCTCTAACCACCATTAACTGAAAGACTGCAGTGTGCATACATTGTCTTTGAGTTCTCTTCTATTGTCCATTGAGGGACACATCTCTGAAGAATTCTGAGCTGTGGGGTTATACCGCATTTTACAGTAATAACAAAATCCTATTTTTTTTCCATTTGATTTTGTTCACGTTGTGTTATCTTCCCAGAGATTGGTGTATATCACGGCAGCTGTGGTGGGGTCACCGAATTCCAGCCTACTTTGTCACCATCAATGACCCTTCAGTACCAGTGGGAGAGGTGAGCTATTTGGGGTGTAATGAGGGTGGTGTAGACAGGAGAGTGTTGGGCAAATAATTAGCTGGAGGGGATAAAGTTAGGGATGTCACGTATAGAGATTTTACATGGTCCAGTTACTGTAAATGTTGGACTCCTCACAGGACACAGATGGCAAGTACTGGATCAGCGGTCGTTCAGAGGACGAGGCGAGACAAAAGGCAGCTAAACAGTTCAACGTGGCTCCTGAAAAAGTGTCACTTAAACAGGGTAAGCTCTTCAAAATGGGCATCACTATGCTATATTTCTTAAAGGGGCTCTGTCACTGTTTGTTTTTATATTTGCTTTGCTAATATATAGCAGCTTACTACACCTTAGATCCAGTGACCGCAGCCATGGGGCATGACTCCGATAGGCAGATGCACGATGGGATTTAAAGTTTCAACACAGCTGGAGTGCTAAGGTTGCTTAGAGAGACTCTGTGGGTAGTATCACAAAGGGGCATTTACAATAGCCACGTTCCTTTTGCATAGGCCTGTCCCTGGTTCCCCTGTAGAGGTAATTCATTTCAGGATTTCCCTTAGCTTACTGAGCCTGCAACACAGATACCATAACCTGTGCAGTAGAAAGGAAATGCTGTGGATGACCCGCTTGAGGTATGCGAGACCTGAAACTTAGAAACATCAGGTTATTACCTCTAAAAGTATTGGGACCATGTAACTTGATGTCTTTGGGATGACTGTCTTTCTTTTTGTTCTGTAGATGAGGATGTGCTTGACACGTGGTTTTCCTCTGGTATCTTCCCGTTCTCCATCTTTGGCTGGCCCACTGAGGTGAGAAGTTCTGCATAAGATTGTTTGTGACATCAACTTGATATCAGTATTGAGTTGAAAAGGGAAATATGTTTCACTTCTCAGACGTCAGATATGATCTTAGGCTGACATGTTATTGGTTGCTGTCCACCATTGCTTATTACACTGTTTTGGTAAATAAGTATAATAGTGCTTTATTGCAGTGTATAGCACCATAAGGTATTTAACTATTCTATGACAGCGTAATGCATATATGTGGCAGCACTGCAGGAGGGCTTGAATGCTCAGCTGCCACATAAATGCATTGCTGTGTTGTTCTAGGGTGCACTTAATTGGCATCCCCAGAACTGTGACCGAGCTATCACTAACAGCTCACAGCCAACTACCGACAATATGGAGCCCATAAGAAGGGGTTCAAATTAAAGAAGAACTCTATACATAATTATTCTTAACCCTTGCGGCGGGGCTACCTCTGCACCGCAAGGGTTAAGTGCTCTTTTTCGCCTAGGGAGGAAAATAAAAAAAGATATATTCACCTGAATCTTGCAGCCGGCTGGCTGTAAAACCGGTCCCTGTCGTCTTACTCCCCCTCTGCTCCAGCGGTCTAAGGTCCTGTGAGTCATCATGTTCTATGTAGTGTATAGGACAAAAGGATGATGAGGGACATTCCATCATTGGAGTGGAGGAAGAGACAGGCGGTAGAGACCTAACTAGGGTTTTAGCTGGATTTTCGGTAAGATTGGAGTTTTCCTTGTATTGGAAATACTGTTTGCATTATCATTTCTTATGGTGACCATATTGTAGATGGTGTTGAGACTTGACATGCTTATCTCTTTTAGTCCGAGGATCTGAACGTTTTCTACCCTGGTACGCTCCTGGAGACAGGCCATGATATCTTATTCTTCTGGGTGGCTCGAATGGTGATGCTTGGCCTCACACTGACTGGGAAATTGCCATTTAAAGAGGTACGCTATTTTCTTTGTGTTGACCTTGAACACACACGAAAACAGCATATTTTTGTTTAGTTTCTTCTTGTTTTATGGCTAATACAGTTAAGCTTTTTTAAAACATTTAAGTGAATTTGTCAGTAGAACAGGAACAACGTATAAAAACCTGAACCTTGACTGCAGCTGGCAATAGAGGGGTTGGAATGAATTAGAAGGTGTTGGGACATAACCTGGTATATTCTTTCTCTGTATACCCCATTCATTCCAAACCCATGACACACAGGGTACTTAAACTGTTTACAATCTTGCTAAATTTTGTAAACCCAAGTGTACCGCTGCTATGCACGTTAGTTGAACAATTGTATCCTAATGTGGAGAGGCTCCTAGTTTTTTTTTTTTAATACTTACATGCACTAGTGCTAGGCCTGCCATACAAAAGCACACAGAGCAAGCATTTTTTCTGTACTATCATATGATGATCTCTACAAATGTGGAGCATAAACAATTGTATGGGTTATAGAGGTTAGTGTCACTACTCATCAGGAAGAACAAATCATTTTCCCTGTATGTGTTGATAAGGTAGAATTAAATAGGCATTTCATATAACAGCCCTATAGGCACAAGGGGGATGTCACTGAACATGTGTTTTGTGGATGTGTATAGTTTAGTCTGCAGGTCAGCAACCAATGCTCAGGTTCCCCCTTGAATGATCACATTTAGAGGCATGGACACATTAATCCCACCCCACTTAGTCTGTATTCATGTTTACATGCATGATGTCGCATGTGGAGTATATGTTGAAGTCTAACACCAGGTAAAGTAAAAAATGAAAAAATATTCACCCAGCAGGGGTTTAAAACAAAATATCAGCCCTGGCTGCAATACTCACTTCTTTTCTAGTGGTTTCCCCCTCAGTAATACCTTTCTGCAGCTCGATGCTCTTACACTCTGTTCATACCTAGGCGTATCGAATATGCACGTTTCGTGACGCGCGTTTTTACCGCGATTCGCGGTAAAAAAAAAACGCGCGACAAACTCGCGTTTCCGAGGGCTACTTGGCTGTATCCCAATGGAAACACGCGACAAAAACGCAGCAAAGAAGCTCATGTACCTTTTCAGGCGTAGGCCGTTTGGTAGCGTTTTCAGACGTGCTGAAATACGGCAAGGTGTGAACCATACCCATAGAAAACAATGGGATTTTCATGTTTGAGCGTTTTGTAGAGCGTTTGTAGAGCGTTGAACGCGCTAAAAAACGTACAGGTGTGAACCAGGCCTTAGTCTTCTAGGTTGAATGATGTTCAGCACCTCTTAACCCAGAACACTGAACATATCCTGTGAGTGCAGGGCATCATGGTCTCACCCCCTGTAGGGGGTCTCGATGGTGCCCTGCACTCGCATACAATGATGCAGAGGTGACATAAGCCCTGCTTTCTACAGTAAAAAAAATAATTAATAAATAATAATAAAAAAAAAATGTGTGTGTATATAGAAAAAAATTAAATATATATATACACACACACACACACACATACAAGCAATGGGGTTAGGGGGTGACTGGGGAAGGAGGAGCCCAGAGTTTAATTATAATATATATCATCCCTTTGACAGCTAGCAGTCTTTGTCTCACTATTGCTCTGCTGTTGTCTTTTAGGTGTACCTGCATGCAATAGTGCGTGATGCTCATGGGCGTAAAATGAGCAAGTCCCTTGGAAATGTCATTGATCCCCTTGATGTGATCAAAGGAATAACCCTGGAGGTAAAGAAAGAACATGTGGAAAGGTAAAGAGTGGCAAATGATGCTCTTCCTACTACTCATCAGAATTATTTTATCTTCCTAACAGGGACTTCACACTCAGCTGGTGGAGAGTAACTTGGATCCCAATGAACTGGAGAGAGCCAAGGAAGGACAGGTAGGTGCTGATTAGACAGCTTTAAATGAATAGATAAATAAATTGCTAAACCGCCCCCCTATCTCAGCTGCTTACGCTCCTCTGTGGAATCCTCTTTAGAGCTGTCTGTGCCTGCACCTTGACTTAGATAGAGTCGTATAACAAGAATCTTCTGTTTTGATATACAGCTCTATTTAAGCCAATGGTGATTTCTTCAGATTGACTGTAAACATCGGCAGAGGGTGCAACAGAGAAATAAAATCCACATACGCAGCTGGGGTGGAGACGTTACTGCCGTTTTTTGTTTGGTAGCAAAAGCTTATTAAAAGTATACAATGACTTCAATGACATCATTTATTATGTGCTAGGTTTTTATCTTACACTAAACCAGAGCTTCTCTTTACCCATCAGAAATTTGACTACCCCAGCGGGATCCCTGAATGTGGCACAGACGCCCTGAGATTTGCCTTGTGCGCCTACACTAGTCAGGGTAGGTGGTCTCCTGTACACTGCACTGAGAATGTATATTTTAAACGTCTTTTTAAAGGGAAAGTTAAAGTGTATGTAGACCTAAAATATTAAATGGGAAAAAAAAAAGTTCCTTACCGTGCCATAAAAGCAATGTCAGATCTACTTGTTGGTGTTGCCAGTAGTTGGCCTTTCAATGCTTCTTTAGTTGTTTCCTAAGCAGGAGCAGTGTTGTCACCCTGGAGTGTGTGCAATACTACACGCTTATGTGCCAGCACACACAGCCTTGCATCTCACAGTGAGCCGCACCACTGAACAACCAGCACTCAGACCCCGTTCACATGTAGCGACATACCTTTGCAGCGGCCGGGATAGCGCGACTTTTGGGGCGACGTTCCAGCGACGGTAGTGCGACCTTCTCCGTCGAGCTCCATAGAAAAAAAGCAAAATCCGCCGAAAAAAGGGTCCGGTAGAAGCGACTTGCGACTGTGACGAGCGACGCGCGACATGGAGTTAAGACAGCTCCATTGAATAGCATTAGCCGGCAACTTCTCGCGATATCGCGCGGCAAAAATGCGCGATACGTCGCTACATGTGAACGGGGCCTCAAGTGGCATTGTCCACATTGTGATTGACAGCGGCTTCGGTCTGTTGTTCTGGCTGCATACTTAGCTTTGTGCAACAAAGGATAACCTGGCCAAGTGACCGGGAGGAACTGTGCACCTCTATCTCTGCCGCGGGCGCACAAACCAGAAAGTGGTGGGTGGGATGGGCACAGCAGGCAGATTTAAAAATGAGAAAAAAGAAATCATCATGTTACTATACGGAAGATGAAAGGTCAATTTATGTTTTTTTCTGGTATTTCAGATCTTAGAAAATCTAGAAAACCTCAAATTTACCAGGATCCATAGTGACTCCTGATGTTGCCTATTGAATACTGCAAGTATGAGATAGTGTATTGCTAGAGAGTTGTAATATGAAAGAGGGTAAAGATCTTAAAGCAGCCATAAGCACTGTGCACTGTTAGATGGGATAGTAAGAGGAGTAGTAAGGGGCACTTTCAGGTAAGGGTGGTATTGATAGCGGGGGTGAAATTTATGCTAATCTCAATAGGCTTCAAGGGACATTTGAAGCTAAAGTTTAATCTGCTTAGAGTTGCCTTCCCTCCACCCTTCATCAACATGCTAATAACAATTTGAAATAAAACCTTTCTGTAAGGGAGGAGTTATGCAAATATCAAAAATGCTGTCGTGGTGGGTGGAAGTCTAGAGCAGTAGGCATTCCTAGGTAGATTGAATTTACATGCAGATCAATCTAGACAATGCCCACGTGTGATGCTGAGCATCCATGATTTTTCAATCACTGAAATTTTATGCAGTGGGCCGGGACTGTCAGAGGAGTGGAAAGTGATAGATGATGCTGGGCCTCCTATTGCCAGGAAATAAGGTCTGACTTGCTGTTGCTTCTAATGCACATTGTTAGAAGCTCACAGTGTGCACTGAAATATGAGTAAGCAGGCTGGAGTTCAGCTTTCAATAGAATGACAAATATCTCAATTTATGTTTACATAAGGGAACTTTTTTGACTTTTTTTTTTTAAATGGCTGTATTACTTACATTGACATGGACATATCTTTCTCTGCCAGGACGTGACATTAACCTGGATGTCAACAGGATTCTGGGTTACCGTCATTTCTGCAACAAACTCTGGAATGCAACAAAGTTTGCCATGAGGGGTCTGGGAGATAAATTCACACCTTCAGACTCTTCACTGGTAAGTGATTGTTTCTGTAATGAGGTCTTCTGATCATTTATATCATAACTTATCCAAATGGCTAAATCATTGAAAATCATATCTGGGAATCTTCTACCTGCTCATATAATTGTAACGTTATTCAACCCCAACACACGGTATAATCAAAAAAGACAAACAAAGAGCGCCACCTCCATGTGAAGGATCATTTATTAAAGAATAAAATAAAAAATGTAGTCGCAAATGTACGTAGGACAAAGCGCAGTAATGTGCACGGACTACTCTCACAATGGAACCTTTAAGAGGGGAATCCCTTTCAGACACACTGCTGTCGTCAGTCTCTGCTGACTTTCCTCACAGCTGTGTCTCGTGGTTTACGTGTTTCAGGGGCACGCCCCTTTCGTCAGAACCTTGGATCCTTCACATGGAGGTGGCGTTCTTTGTTTGCCTTTTTTGCATGTGCTGATAAGAATCCCAAAATCTCTTAAGCTGGCCATACACCTTTAAATTATCTGCAGATTTTCTATGGTCAGATGGAAAAGGTGCAACAGATTCCTCCATCTACGCTAAACTGTGTGGATGGAGTAATCTCCACCTGGGCCAAGCTTCCGTAATCTTGCTGGTCGGCCCCGCTGGCTCTCAAAACACCTGAACAATGTGTGCATCCAATCAGATTGGTCAGGTATTTTGACAGCCAGCGAGGCCGACAAGCAAGATGCTTAAGCTTGGCTCAGTGGGAGATTGGCTCAGCGGGAGATTCCACATAGCTTAGCATAGATGGAGGAATCTGTTGCACTTTTTCCATCTGACCATAGAAAAATCTGCAGAGAATTGTAAGGTGTATGGGCACCTTAAGATGAGCAGTTTCTGAACAGAAGAGGAATAAGGTCCTGAAAGGGACGGTCAAAAGTTTTAATTTTTTTGGCGCTGAGACAGTCTTTTCTCACGGAAAGTGAGATGTGAAACGTTTGGAAGGAAATATGACCCGAAGTCATGTATCTGTGAAGCCCCCGCTCCTGATTTGTATGAGTCTTATATATACACAACCAGTACTTCTGAGTTAAAGAATTCTTTAATGTTCTGTTTTAGATTTGGGTTTGTTTGTGTGATACATATAGACAATTATATTGGATTTATGTGTTTTTTAGCCCACCGGTCAGGAAAGTTCGGTTGATCTTTGGATCCTGAGCCGTCTCAGTCTGGCGGTAGATCTGTGCAACACAGGTTTCCAGAATTACGACTTCCCGGGAATTACTACAGCAGTCTACAACTTCTGGCTGTATGATCTCTGTGACGTCTACCTGGTAAGTAACCCGATTTATTTTCTCCTGCCTCTCAAACCATTTGTGGTCGTCTTTACTGCATCTCCTCCATCACCGACCTATTTTGTTTTTTGGTTCTTTAACCCTTTTGTTGCCACCAGTGGGAGCACTGACATACAAACAGGTGGGAGTTTGTTCACCTTCTCACACTGAGCTGTCCGCTATTCTATGGAAACGATGACTTCCACATGTACTGTATCCAGGATCATTATGGTAGATGTCAGAATGGGGTGCGGCAGGAGACCAGTGAACGTCTGGGTTCAGAGATTGCATTCCTTGGCCTACGTGACTGAGGGATATGCTAAACAAGCATGATTTGTGCTCGGTTAGCTTTAACCTTCTTGGCGGTATTCCCGAGTGTGGCTCGGGGTTAATTTTCAGTGCCAAAAGCGGTAACCCCACACTAGGGATTACACAGCGCCCACTTACCTTGTCAACGATCCCCGCTGTGTCCTCCGGCCGATGCCGGCATCCGTCTTCCGGGTTCCGTCCCTTGCGAGCGTGCACGTCGCAGGGATGGCGGAACCGGCGGGAATTTTAAACGGAAAAAAAAAATAGGAACAGAAATATTAATAAATCAGACCGCCAGGGAGGTTAAAAGAGTGCTGAGGTGTCATGATGGGTCAGAAACCCTGTCACCCCTGTTTAAAATACCACATTGTGAGTGTATCAAGCCCCCTTGTTATAACAATAAAGTTAACTAAAAATGTAAAAAAAAGTTTAATAAGTATACAACCCCCCAAAGTGTTTTTTTAAAGCCCCCCCAACATACACGCACATATGAATGCAAATATGCACGTCGGGCTTGTCTGCATACAAAAACGATTGTGGCACACATTGGGTATTGCTGCAAGCGAGTGGGAGTGGAAATTCTGGGGTTATCATTCATAGTTAACTCTACAGTTAAGGCTGCAAAGGCTTTTAAAGCATCACCTATGGACAATTTGGGGTACCGTAAGTTTTCACCATTTTTGTGTTTATGCCATTTTAAGACCTATTTTTATTCTATATACATGACGAATCCTCGCTTAATACTATCTTCCACCTTCTCTGTCTCTTTTTTCCAGGAGTGTTTGAAGCCCGTGTTCGCTGGCTCAGACGAAATCGCCATCGCCGTAGCACAGCATACGCTTTACACTTGTCTGGACGCCGGTCTCCGCCTCCTCTCCCCCTTCATGCCTTTCCTTACAGAGGAGCTTTACCAGCGCCTACCCCGAAGATCCTCCGAGCAGTTCTCCAGCATTTCCGTGGCTCCTTATCCCGAGGCCACCGAGGTGAGCACCACCGTCTCATCCGTATACTTTGTGTATTTGTCTTTTTCGAAATAATTACTGACTGTTGTAAACATGAAGATTTAAAATTGCTTTGCAACATGTTATTTTAATGAAGCTGAACTTTAATATATAATATAATATATATAATTATTTATGTATACTTACACTGGTCCAGCATGGCCCAAGGTAATTATACATATTTTATACCTGGTAGGGCCACACAAATACTTTAAACCACTGTAGTAGCTGCAGTTAAATACAGTGAACTTCTAGGTCCTGTGCTGGCTCACTTCCCCTCTGTCAGAATGTTTACTCTTTTAAATAAACAGTTTTCTATTTATGAAAACAATGTGTAGAATAATATGTATAGGCCTTATAGTTTAATTCCTTTTAGCCCCAATAGTTCTGACACCTCTGCAGTGAAAACACGGGGGATCACTTGCTTGTCACAGCAGCCATTCAGAGAAGGCCTAGTATTTTTATTAATGAATACTAGATGTTCTCTGATTGGACGAGGGGCGCTGGCGGGATGTTTTTATGACACCAACCCTCAGATTGGGCACCAAGGCATAGAAATAAACCACCGCTCCTCTATGGCTTTAGCAGGAGAAAGACAGCTGGGTGCTCGCTCCGCCCAAACAAATATCTGTTATCCATGGCAAACATAACTCAGCCGGGATTTGTCTGATGCAGGTCAGGAAATGAAAGCAAATGCCTGGTTCCTAGAGGTATCACAAAGACAGTTTGTATACAACATCCTTGAGGTTTTCCGAAATTGCCTTAAATTGTAACCATTCCTTTCTGGTATTTGTATTTGCTGCCTGCAGTTTCACTGGAGAGACGAAACAACTGAGAGGAATATGGACCTTGCATTGCTCATAGTGAAATCCATCCGGTCTCTGCGCGCAGATTATAATCTCACCAAGACTAAAGCTGACTGTGAGTACTCGCTGACATTTTAAAGATAAATGTATATGGTAATAAAATACAGAAAATGTCACCTGGAATAGCTTTCCGCCCAAGAGCAACGGGATTCGAGGAAGTGACCACTAGATGGCGCGATTATTATGTTATCATTTTCTGGCGAATGTGTGGTACAAAGAATTAACGCAGAACTCCAGGCAAACCGCTGCACAGCCTGGCAAGTGACCTCACAGTTAGAGTGTAAAGGGAATACAGTAGTGTCCTCTCTCCACTCCCAGCCTGTTGATTGAACATTAAACGAGAATCAAGAGACATATTTAGATAATTTCTGTGCTCACTGTGCTGTCTCCTCTTAACAGCATGTTCCTTGCCAGCACATTTGTATGCAGCACACTTTACTGGCTTCCAGACCAGTCTGGAAGTAAGTCTGAGTTGCTCTGTATTAGGGATTCCAAGAGCCAAATTTAGTGTACATACACTTATTGCATCAAAGTAAGTTTAATGATTTATGAATTAATACAGAGTTATGTTAAAGTGATGCTAAACTCAGCAGTTAAGTCTTAAAAATGCATTCAGGTACCTCCAACTATTAACAAAAATGTATCGTATTTGTGTATCACTCGCTGTAGATCCTCCAATCATCTCTGAATTAGTGCTGACACTGTCCTTCCTTCTGGAGGGCGACTACTTTTGTTCCCCATGGTCCCTGTGTGTGTTGTAAAGTAGTCACCGCTCCAAGCTCGCTCCCGGGATGGACTACAATCTCATGTTTAGTTTAATAATTTATTTTGGGACTCTAGTCCATCATGGGAACGAGCTTGGAGCGGTGACTACTTTACAACACACACGGGGACCATGGGGAACAAAAGTAGCCACCCTCCAGAAGGAAGGACAGTGTCAGCACCAATTCAGAGATGATTTGAGGATTTACAGCCTAGTTTGAGGCCTCGGTCACACCAGACACAGTACGTTCCGGCCTGATTCTGGCCTGAACGCACTGCATCGCATTGCGGCGCACTCATTTTGTTGTGGGGCAGGAGGGGGTGTAGCAGTCCATTGAAGCGAACGGCACCGTAGCCACGCCCTCCAGGCGCAATGCAATTAGCCGCATGGGAACGCAAGGCACATCAATGCCTGCGGTCTGGCCCGAACAAAATAGTTCCTGGCAGCATTTTGTTCGGACCGGACCGCAGACATTGATGTGCCTTGCGTTCCCGTGTGGCCGATCACATTTTGGCTGGAGGGCGTGGCTACGGTGCCATTCACTTCAATGGACCGCCACGCTCCCTCCTGCCCCACAACATAGTGAGCCAGCCCCAATGCGATGCAGTGCGTTCCAGCCAGAATCGGGCCGCGACGCACTGTGTCTGGTGTGAACGAGGCTTTAAGATTTAACTCCTGAGTTTAGTATCACTTAAATGTTATGTTTTCTGCCTCAAGTTCTGCTTTAAGCAGCCATCCCTATCAAAAGTAGGATAACAATGGGGGCGCGAGGTGGGCAAAGCCTCTTGCTGGTCTTGGGGCTTCATGTGCTATGACAAAGTTCTTGTTCTATTCCTTTCCTCCTCGGAATTTAGAGTGTTACAACCGGCAAGTATTCCCAGTCATCCTGTTGTATATTCCATAAGGTACAATAAAACTTCTTGGAGGGAATTTATCAAAACTGGAGCAGTTTCCCATGGTAACCAATAACCTCTCTTCAGTTTGTTCAGTTAAGATTTGAAAATGAAAGAGAGAAGCTGATTGGTTGCCGTGCACAGCTGCTCCAGATTTTGATAAATTCCCCTAATTATATTTACTGTGGAAGTGTGAAGACCTGGGAACATAAACACAGAGATGTCATCAGTGGACTATAAATAGTTAGCAAAGTAACTCTCCAACACAAAGGAAATGGGGTTTTTGAGATAACTGAAAATCGCAATTTATGACTTGAAAAATTGGCAGGACCTGAATGTTAATAATGAGGGTTTTCAGGTCCTTCCAACCCTTGTCTCCCATGCCATTGCTGTCCCTATCTGAACCATAGCAAAGCAATTCACTACACTTTATTGCTGCTTAATATTGGGAGCGCTCTTATTTGTTATGTTTATGGCATTGCTTCAATCTTTAGGCCTCTTCTTTGTCTTTTCACAGGACTTTGATCATGGTTTTCCTGTGTGTGCTCCCACTGTATAGGATGTTGTTTCTGTTAAGGAGTGGCCAAGGCAGTTTTTATGTTATTTAGACTTTGGACTGAATGTATTTGTATAATAGCCGTTGACATTGCAGTTGTATTTTAACAGGCCATAAAATATAATATGCAAGGGTAATCGGCTATCGTGGCCTGCTGTTATTTGACCTGAAGTGAACCGGTCTTTTATTTATTATGTTTATGTAATAGCATTGCCATTCAGAGTGCATAGATTGATTCCCATTAGTCCCTGACTGAGAGAAGGTTATATTCTAATGGCACTTCCAAAGTCCCTGGCACACCGTAGTTAATCTGTCATTGTATATTTTCTGCAGACAGTAGCTCTGGAGGGAATTTAGGTTTGGACTCCAGTGCTAAAAGACCATAGTGCGGACTATAGTACTAGCCATAGTGTTGACTTTGTTGTGCTCCTCTTGAGAGTAACTGCTTGAGCCTCTATACTAGCATCCAGTATATCATTCTGGATGTCAGGGTTCTATGGCCAAGTTTTGCACAGGAACATCTTGAGGTTTAAACCATTACAGCTTGGCCTTAAAGTGCGTGTCTGCACAAAATAAGAAAAAACATATGCAGTACATCTCCGCAATGCAATACATACACATTTCCCCACAATAATATACTTGTTGATCTGTAAGAAATCCAGTGAGCCATTATTACTTCACAGCAGTTTCATATTGATAACCATTTGGCACTGCCTCACACCAGATATTCTCTCCCTCTGACCTCATAGGTTTCGTGAAGTGTGAGGATGCTGATGCTAGGACTGTGGTTGCTGCTTATACCCCGTACATCACTGTCCTCTCCTCTACCCGCACTTTGGTGATCATGCAGCCTGCGGACCCGGCCCCAGAGGGCAGTGCTGTGAACACCGCATCCGATAAAGCCACCGTCTACCTTATTCTCAAGGTGAGCCCTGCTAGGCAATGGCTGCCACTGGACAGCACAGCGGGTCACTCTGCTTATGTGGAATCACTGAAATACACAAGGTAATATCGAATATTGTGTCTCCTGGCAGGGTCTTATTGATGTGGAGAAAGAGCTAGCTAAGCTGCAAGTGAAGAAGGCTGAGCTGAGCCGACAGCTAGCGAAAATGTGGGAACGGGTGACTGGAGCAGATTACCGAAGCAAAGTTCCCACAGCAGTACAGCAACAAGATGCCGACAAGGTGAGTTACAGCTCGGAGAAGACAGAGATGCATGGTGCTGTGGCTGAGGAGAGCTGATGTTTATAAGCTTTAATTCTATTAGGTCACTGCCAGCCTTTCAATAATGATGCAGCCTCTGCTCTCCTTTCTACTTAGCTTGTCTCCACATTCTTCTCCCTCCCCCTCCTCTTCCTCTGCATCCATCTCCCTCTTCTCTCTTCTTCTCCCCCTTGCTCCTCTTCTATTACACAAACCTTTTCTCTCTCCACCTATTTCTCCTCCTCTTCTCTCTCTCCCCCTCCCTCTCAGCCACTCAATTCTCTCCTCACTCTCTCATTGCGCCTCTCTCCTCACTCTCTTTCTCTCTGTCCTCATTCTCTTCACCTTTTTCCTTCTCTTTTCACGCCTCTGTCTTCTCTTCACTCACTCCTCTTCACTCACTCCTCCTCTTCCCTTCCTCTCCTCCTCTTCCCTCCCTCTCCCCCTCACTCCCTCTCTCCTTCCTCTCTCCTCTTCTCTCCTTCCTCTCTCCTTCCTCTCTCCTCTCCCTCCCCTCCCTTCCTCTCTCCTCTTCTCTCCTTCCTCTCTCCTCTTCTTCTCTCCTTCCTCTCTCCTCTTCTTCTCTCCTTCCTCTCTCCTCTTCTTCTCTCCTTCCTCTCTCCACTTCTCTCCTTCCTCTCTCCTCTTCTCTCCTTCCTCTCTCCTCTTCTCTCCTTCCTCTCTTTTTCCTTCTCTCACTGCCTATTTCTTCTCACTCCTCCTGTTACTCTTTTCTTCCACTCCCTCCTTTCCAATTGTTCCTCAACTTCTCTCTCCTCTTCTTACTCACCCTCCATCCTTTAATCATTTTCTTCTTTTCTCTTCTCTCCCCCCCTACTTTCTCCCTGCCTCCACTCCTTATTTCCCTCTGACATCTCTATCTGGAAATGCTGGTTGCCTCGCTGTCATGTCCCTCTCGCATAAGTACTTTGAGTCAGTCACTAAGAACAAGTATTCCTCTAAGGATCTATGACTTTTCCTGGACTTTACTGATCTGCATACTTGTTTTGGATCAGTGACTTAGAAATTATCGGAGCCAAAGAATCAGTCTGACAGCCAAGCAACCAGCATTTCTCAGAAGAACACAAATGGCAGCGTGCATATTTCTGTCATAACAGGTTTAATCCTCACGAGCTCATCTTCTAATCCAGATGGCACTCATTTCAAGATATTCAATATTGGTGAAATGCTGTGAAAAATTTGTTTTCGGTCACATTTACAAAGGAACAATCTCAGCCAGATAATTGAATTGCATGTCAGTGAAAGATTTATTTAACTGTTAACCCTTCATCTTCCCCTCTAGATGAAACAGTTTGAGACTGAGCACCAGAAGGTGGAAGAAGCGCTGAGTAGTTTTCAGAAGATGGTCTAGTATTTTATTTATTTTCCACTTGCTCAGGATTGCAACAAGAGCCCATATGCTGCTCCCAAAAGTCCCTTTTTTAACAAAATAAGAAAAACGTCTAGAAAGACCCAATGTATGTGAATGATGTATCATACAACAATGTAATAAAAACTATAGAATCCTGTACAAAGGAATTACTGTGTCATCGTTTGTGAAATACAAAAAATAGCTTTGGTAACTTCTGATAGAAGGAAAAAAGAAAAAAAAATCTCTCCCTCTCTTCCCCCCTCCATCTACTACTCTACTAGATAGACATGCTACTTTTTCCCCTGTAGCCATCAGATTGATATCCCATCACTTCCTATCCTTGTGACACCCAGTTACTGGGACAGGGAATGAGGGGAAACTTTCAAATGGGGGACACCAATAACAATTGAAAATGTGTGCTACACCCTACCCTTGCTGCACTGAAATGCTAGGCAACATTATGAGCTTGCCAAAGTTCTCCTCTGCTTGACCACAGAGCACTACCTCTCTCCTTATCCCTGTAACAAAAGTGGAAGGTGTCCTGCAGTCCAGCAGACAGAGAGGGACAGACAAAATATTAGGAAATGTGTATGTGCTGCAGAGTTTTGCTTTCTTTTTTCTTTTGCTCAGACATACAAAGCAAAAATTAATTTTCAAATGAAAACATTTGCTGGTCTGTTCTGCCAAAAAAATTGCTTTCCATTCTTGCAAACAATAGGTTTTAAGTAGTAAATTGGCTGTGGTGCAATGGGGCAGTATAATCCTGGCATCTGTAAGAGCTGGGTGCCGGAAAATGTGTGAGCGAGGGGGTAGATCTCACATTTCTGAACAGACTCGGAAGAAAGTATGCAGTGCCTGCTTGCAGATTATGGAAACTTATACGGGAGCACAATGCGGATTCAGTTCATATTTACATCTCCAAAGTCTGGCAATTGTTGCATTGTTTGCAGTATATGTCCTGACCCTTCATTAAGAAAAAAAATACTTGGCGCTCCTCGTGCTTCCCTTTGTATTGGTCTCTATTGATTTTTCAGAGATCGTGACAGGCTGTGTTCTAAGCAGTCTACCTAACGAGATGCCAACAGATGACCAAACTCTGCACCAAAAGCCTTATTCCAGCTGATGTGATGATTCAGCAATGTGGAGGATGACTAAGAGGAGCAAAAATGTATTTAGAAAAGGAACACATTTAAAAAAAGCCATTTAAAATAAAGACTAATTATAATACAGTCTACACGTAAAGGGCCCCTAAATACAAAGATTTTATTAACATTGACCTGAACTCAAGATTTGCTATCTTATAGGGAACATCTAGAGATGTTATATGTGCCTAAGTAGTACTCTGACTGAAAGATTTCCCTTTTGTCCTTAATTCTTCCTAAAATATTATAGTGCATATCCTCTGTCTTCATTCGTGCAGCTGGATATGTGAGATCAGTGTGAGATCATCTAAGGCACGGCGTCTCAACCTTTGTAATCTCAGGACCCACATTTGACCTTGGTCATTAAGTGGCGACCCAAATCGCACTGCATTAGGGTACTGTGCGTTTTGGTGTGGGCATACGAACTGTGGGTGGGAGGTGCCTTTGGGGTACCACTCAAATGAATGGCAAAGCAACACACCTCCCACACCAGAATGCACGGTAGGTGTGATTGCATGGTACAGTGAGTTAATCGCACGGTACTATGCAATTATCGCACTGAAATACATACACAACCACAGACCCATTCTCACACATACACAATTTTTTTTTTTTAAGGTCCACCCAGTCTCCCTACCTTACCAGAACTGGAGTGGATCCTCAGCCTGGGGTCCATTGTGGGCTGCTGTGCTGTAATGAGGCTCCATCCATATGTGCATTGCTTAGCTCCCATGCATGCCCGTAGAGGTGACGGGAGCCAGAATGTGATGTCGCCCTGGTCCAAGCACCTCTTACAGGACACGCGAGGGAGCTGTTAGAAATGCATGAATGGATGAAGCTCCCTTGCGGCCATAGCCCCATCCCACCTCAAGCTGACACTTGGTGCTGGGGAGCATATTTTGAATGGCTCCTTATCTATTCTGTGCTTGCTGCACCTTTCCTGCTGCTTCTCCAGGGGGACAGCTTTGACATGAGGAAGCAAAACCCTGCCCCCTGCTAAGATGGCCACCTGTACATAGGCACAGTCCAGAACAAGCTTCTCTGTTAAATAATTACATCACTACTGGATTTATGCATACTCGCATGTATCTAATGTCTTTCACATGTACCATTATAAAATTTTTGTAACTTGATTATACATACCCATGTTTGTACTGTGTGTACTGTACACGTCTTCAGATAATAAAAGAATAAAAAATAAATAATTACATCACATAATGTGGGGAGCATGTCTCTCTGCTGCGAGGTTTATTATAAAATGCCTTGAAAAGGATATACACCCGTTGTATATAGAGCTGATTTTCCAAACCTTGATGGCAAGTATCGACTATCTGTAAAGAGGAAGGTGCTTCTAGGAGTAGACTTAGTAGTCAATTGGACCTAGAGATATGGTGTCACTCGCCTTCGTGTAGTTCATGTACAGAGATTGGTTGTTGGAGCTAGCGGGTTTCTGCCAGCAGGAAGCTGTCGTGGTATAAGAATGTTATCAGCGATTTGGCAAGGTGACCACCCTTCACGTGGATGGCATGTTGTGTGTGTATATATAGAAAGAGATGGTGAAGATCACTTAGTGTAGATAAGATTCTGATTCTTCTTCACATGGATCCTATGTTATATAGAAGGAGATAGTAAAGGTAGCCTGGTGTAAATAAGATTCTGATTCTTCTTTACATGGAACGCATGTCGTATAGAAGGCAATAGTGAAGATCGTTTGGTGCGGATAAGATTGTGATTCTTCTTCCCATGGATCCCATGTTGTATAGAAGGAGTTGGTGAAGGTTGCCTGGTGTAGATGACATTCTGATTCTTCTTCACATGGATCCCATGATGTATAGAAGGAGATGGTGAAGATCTCACAGTGTAGATAAGATTGTGATTCTTCTTCACATGGATCCCATGATGTATAGAAGGAGATGGTGAAGATCTCACAGTGTAGATAAGATTCTGATCCATCTTCACATGGATAGTGTTTATATAGTAGGAGATAGTGAAGACTTTGATTCTTCTTTACATGGATCCCATGTTAAATAGAAGGAGATGGTGAAGGTTACCTGGTGTAGATGACATTCTGATTCTTCTTCACATAGAACCCATGTCATGTAGAACAAGATGGTGTAGATAAGTTTCTGATGATTCCTCACATGGATTGACTATTGTGTATATAGTATATACATACAATATTGGATATGGATGGATATATACATCTCTATAATCTCAATGTATACAGCTGACCTAAATGGGGTTTTTGTTTATACAACAAAGTCAAAGCTTTTCTTTTAAAAATAGCCACTTCCTCATGAGCGTATTGATAAACTAGCATGGGTGTAAGGGTGGCTAGAGAGTAGAGGAAGTGAAAATGTCATACACGGCAAGTAAGGCGGAAGGAACAAAGACCAGGATAGTAAATAAAAACTGGCTAACACTAAGGTAATATATCGGGATCTCCCAAGCTGATAATTTTTTATTTAGGCGCCATTCACATCTGTGCACACTACAGCAACACACACAGTACGTGGTGCATTGTGGTACCATTGTGCTGCAGAAAAAATAATTGTGCAGGTCTGTTAAAATCTGCATTGTGGTGCGTGTGTGGTAAGGCAGCAGTAAAGTCTGAATAGACACTTGGGGACCATTTACAATTCTGTATTGTAGTATTGCACGTAAGTATTAAAGGTTCACCTGCACACCATACAGCAGGGGTCCTCAAACTACGGCCCGCGCGCCAGATCCGGGCCGCCAGGGTCCTTAACCTAGCCCGCTTGGCATAGGCTTTAAGGCCGGATTAAAGTAGGGGCTAAGGGAGCTGCAGCTCCAGGCACCTACCTTAAAATAGGCCCAACCGCCCTAAACAACATATAGCAATCCATCAGCCGGCGGTGTCTGGGGAGAGATTGGCATTCCCCCGTCCCCGCCTGGGTGTCGGGGAAGAGACACAGGCCGTTCCGGAAGCTTGACAGCTTCAGTGTTCGTGCTGCTCTCTCATTTCAGGGCGCCCGCCGAGGCACGGGACGTACGAAAGCCTGGCAAATCAAATGCCAGGCTTCCTTTAGCAGTGTAACGTCAGTGCGGCTGCGCCCCTCCAACTTTGGGCGCACTCCTGGACGGCGGTAAGAAGTTTGAAGACCCCTGCCATACAGTACAGTATATAGAGCTTCAGATATGAATGTTTGGTGGGAGAAGTGACGACACAAATGGTGCCGTGTAAGATACAGTTAGAAAGAGAAGTCACCAGCACTCGATTTTACGTGCACTATGTGGCCCGGAGGAAGGGACCCTGCGTGGCCCCGAACCGTTGGCTTAATGATGCAAGTGACAGTTCAATATATAGTGCTTATACTTCTTGTACGAAATATCAGGTGCTGGTGACTTCTCTTACTAGTAGGATTGCACATGACATGGATTGCTGGGTTGCAGTGCTATTAATTTTAGATAGCACCCCAATGCACTTGGCGAAAGGCCATAGCGAGCCACAATGCACGACATTGCATGGTAGTGTGTCAATCTCCGATGGCATTATCGAATGTTCTGACGAGATTTTTTTTTTTTGTATGAATGTTAGTATGAAATTCTAACCATGTCTACCCAGCTCCACTGGGAATCAAAAACTAACACACTTTGGCTGGAACTACACTTTAAACCGAAATGTTGGCCATCCAATGGGTGTCTTAACTTACTGTATAGGCGGCCTATAGCAATGTCCATCTTGTCTACTTCTGCACTGAGGTTATGGTACTCAGTGCCTCATGGACTGGTTCTCCGTTTCTTGTATCACCCTTTGCATGTCTCTTCTATGGGTAGGTGACAGCTGTGTGTTAATGATATTTCTCAGTCCCTGTAGAAGAAGCACACAGGAGTTAATTAGCGGGAGGAACTCTCAGAGGGGAAAATGTCTAATCCTATTCACAGAAATCTCTGCAAATAACACGTTACACTGAGAACGGCTTTAGGGAGGAGAGAGCTGGAGTAGGACAAAGGCAGATTGTTGGTGGAGTGCAGGGTAAAGGTGACCACACATAAGATGTTAATAGCAAAAGAAAAAAAAAATTAACCTGTTACCTACCATGGATGAAAAGGGCGACCCTGGCCTTCCTACGTGTTACCTAAAACCTTTGCAGAAGTCACATGGTCTCTGGCTACCAGGAGCATTGTGAGTGTTTGTGGTTGTTCGAGTCTACGGAGAATCTTTTATTTTCAAGCAGATACACCGTAGACTTGCAAAGGGATATAAAGATCAGCAGCGTGTGTTTAATGATATAATATAATAATAATTAGCGATGCACCGAAATGAAATTTGTAGACCGAAACCGAAATAAAGAAAAAAATTGTCAGGCCAAACCGAAAATAATTTTTTTTTTTCCCCCAACAAGATGGCCGCCGGCTGGCGTCACTCAGATGTCCTCGCACCTCTCGATCCTGTCACGGCTCTCTGCCGTGACGGGAGGGGCTGGATTCCCCCCTCCCCGCTCCGATCCGCCAGCGCTGACTGGCGGAACGGTTGGGACGGGTACAACTGGCTCTGCCTCTAGATAGGCAGAGCCAGCTGTCAGTCACACAGCTGGGCAGATCCCGGCACAATTGTCTGGATCCGCTTCAGCTGCGGCGTCTTAGTATACCGCGAGCTACAGCAGTATACTGAGCCTAGGGTGACGGGAGGATGCTAGTTTGTGTCCTCCCATTACCCTAAGGAGAACTATGGGGAAAAGCCTTAACCTCTTAGTTCTCCTTTCATACTACTACAACTAATAGTTAACAGCCAGTATAACATTATCATACATACATTGGGTTAAACCAAACTACGTCTAATAATTACCAGCTGGTATAACATAATCATATGGGTTTGATGTGTCTATTTGAGGTTTATTAAATTTTTACCAAGTATTATTGATTAATATATATTCAGTATTAGGTCAGCGCGGTAGCTCAGTGCTTGGCCCCTATGCCTTTTATACTGTGGACCTTGGTTGCAATGTCAGCCAGGGCTCTGTATGCATGGAGTTTGCCTGTTCTGGTGATTCTATGGAATTGTCCGGAATGTGATGGAACAGATATCATACACATCAAATATTTGGGCTGGTGGGGTGCCTCACCTGCCACGAACCTCCCCGCGCGTCCCTGCAATGCATATTTGTGAACCAGACGCATTGAAAACAAAGGGATGCTAAGTATGTTTTATTGTGTTGTAACGTGCGCAAAATGATGTATAGGTGTGAACAGAGACTTCCACATCCACACTTGTGAGTTTTCATAGTTATGCTTTTTTGGCGTGTTTATGAGCATTTTTGATTAGTTGGATATTTGTAATGCATTTTATAATGCGTTTTTATGCTTCATGCATTTTTGTTTTGGCCAATGACAAACAATATCTGCTGATGCTTATGTTGCAATACTGATGCTGGTAGGAGGAGGAGACTGGTTATGTGCAAAAACATGTCAAAAACGCTAAAGCGCATGTACATTTGTTTTTCATGAGCTCTCATTAAAGTCTTTGGGGCCAAAAAAAACGCTCTATAGTAACAAAATAAGCACTTTTATCCAAGTCACACAGCAGTGCAACCCATATTGGGCCTTATAGAGAATAATGGGATTCCTCTTGTTGTGTATTGCAGCGCAGAAAATAGCACAGGCATGAACGAAGACTAAGAGGTGTATTTATAAACATTCCTCAGAAGCATTCACCCTGTGAATCTCTGTGAACGTTCGTTTTGTGTGACTAGAGGCACAAATGAAAGTTCTCAGTATCTTCTTTTTTAAATGTAATGTAATACCACATTATGGCCACTAGATGGAGCCGAGGAGCATAGGAAATTAATACATATTTCCTATTCTCCTCAGCTCCATCTAGTGGCTATAATGTGGCATTTTTTACTTACATTACATTTGACCTGAAAAGAAAACATATCTAAGAACATTTGTTTTTGCCTTTATTCACACAAAATGAACATTCACAGAGATTCACAGGGTGAATGGCTCTGAGCATTGTGAATGGCAGACCATTTGCATATTGGGAAAGTCCACAAACTAGAGTGCATGATAAAGCGGAACTCCAGGCACAAAAACTTTCAATTAAATATATTCCACAATATTCACAAAGGATATAAATCCACTTTGTGTGCACTAAATGCCTTTACAAACCCAGATTTTACCCAGTATCTGTGACCTCATCACTGGGCTGTACATAGCCTGTGCAGAGAGCAGAGCTGTAGGAGGGGCCCAGTTGGCTCCACCTACTAGAGGCAGCCTGAGGAAAACTAAAGGAGGGGGCGGAGACCAGTCACCCTGCACAAAGAGATAGAGCAGCAGTGATTGGTCTTTATTACGGGAAGGCTCCAAGTCTCACACTGGATTACTGCACAGATCTGGAAGAAATACACAAAGCCCACCCAGCCTCAGGGAAGAATACACAGGACTCTGGTATGAGGACAATATTTGCTCATTGCAGAGTTCAGCTGTAAGGCAAGTTGGAGCCAGCTGGAAATTGGTTGCACTGCTGCCTGCAATGTCGTAACCTGGCCATACACTATGCAATGTTATCTGTACAGTCTCTTGAAGCTTACTACACACATCACAATCTCCTCTGGATCTACCAACAACTAGTACAGGGGCCAGCTGGATACACATTGGTCGGATGAATGAAGTAGGTCAATATATTACAAAGTTTCGGTAAATCTAAAGCTGATTGTACAAACATTGTATAGTCAGAATGAAAAGCGTATGGTGACCGTTAGATTTACCAAAACGATGTAATATGAGGACAAACCTGAACAATCCATTCGATTAGTGTCAGACAGACAGGCATGGTAGATCCAAAGCCGATTGTACAATCAGATTGAATAGCGTATGGTCAGCTTTGGTGTATCACCAGCTTCAGCTTATTTAATAAATCAGTGCAAGTTCTTAAGAGTGTAACCAATCAGAATTGATCATCTGAAGCCACGGTGGATGCTGATTGGTTCCTCTGCACTTTATAACTCTTATTCTTTCTCCATCTATAACATTTTCTGCATTTTGCTTTCTCCTGCTCCCCCCCACCATGGTTTTTGTGGGAGCACAAAGGACTTATGACCCGTGTCTCCCGCACACAATAGAGCGATGTACACAAAGCCCTGGATTAAAGGGGACACAACCCTTCCGAATCAGTTCCCCCTGAACGTTTCCACTTCTCCCCGTATCCTCCAATCACACCGGAGCTGATACGAATACAGTCGTACTTGTGAATTTTATTCCCCTGACTCAGCGTTTGCGATCTCTTCGTTGGTTTTTTTTTGTTCGCCTTTTTTTTTTTTTTTTCAACTGATTGCTTCCTTTTTTTTGTTACCCTCCCTCCTGCCTCAGGTCCTTTGGCGTCGTGACAACACAAAAATAAATACGAGCAGCCGGTGCACCCTATTGTGGCAGGGTGACCAACGTCTCCTTTAAGGGGAGGGCGGGACCTGTCATTGACTCGGCTGATAAACAGTGCGAAGTGGCGAGTGTATGCCGAGAGATTAGAGTGAGGACGCCGGAGGCAGATGGACAGAGCAGTGCAGGTGCGGAGGGCATGTGAGTCTACACTGCTGTAATACTATCCCTGTGAAGGCTTAATCGGAGCTGCTGTTATCATAGGTGTGTAATAATGACTTATTACTGATCAATGCAATCAATGCCTGCCATAGATGTGTGACTTCAGGGCGTCAGGGGAGGGCAATTGGGTAAATCGGGTAAATCTAAAGGAGATTGTGCAATCAAACTGTAAAGTGTATGGACGGCATAAAGGAAATTGTACAAATTGTGCAGGTTTGTCCTCATATTACATAGTTTTGGTAAATCTAAAGGAGATTGTACAGATTGCCGAGTGTATGGCTTAAGACATTTTATGCAGCAATGCAACCAATGTCCAGCCTGCTCAGAAATATTCCCCAAAATGCCTTAAAAATCAGCAAATATTGTCCTCATACAAGAGTCCTGTGTATTCTTCCTGAGTCTGGGTGGGCTTTGTCTATTTCTTCCAGATCTGTGCAGTAATCTAGTGTGAGACTTATAAAGACCGTTCACTGCTGCTCTCTCTCCTCGTGCAGGGTGACTGGTCTTGTCTCTGCCCCCTCCTATAATAAAGACCGCTCACTGCTGCTCTCTCTCCTTGTGCAGGGTGACTGGTCTTGTCTCTGCCCCCTCCTGTAATAAAGACTGCTCACTGCTGCTCTCTCTACTTGTGCAGGGTGACTAGTCTTGTCTCTGCCCCCTCCTGTAATAAAGACTGCTCACTGCTGCTCTCTCTCCTTGTGCAGGGTGACTGGTCTTGTCTCCACCACTTCCTGTAATAAAGACCTGTCACTGCTGCTCTCTCTACTTGTGCTGGGTGGCTGGTCTTGTCTCCGCCCCCTTCTTGTAGTTTCCTGCAGAGGGTGGAGCCTGCTGGGCCCCTCCTACAGCTCTGCTCTATGCACAGTCACAGTGATGGTGTCACCACTACTTTTCAAGGTAATATTTGAGTTTGTAAAGGCATTTGAAACACACAAGGTTTATTTATATCCATTGTGGCTATAAAGGAATATATTTAGATTAGATGGTTGGTGTGCCTGGAGTTCACTTTTAAATAATTAATAGATGGATTAACTACCATTGCCAGACACCCACCAATTAGTTATAAGGTCAGGTTTGGGCCGAACCCAGAAGGAAACTCAGCTGCGGCCAGGGAATTCCGCGCCTGCAGCTGCACATAAGGAAAGGGTGGGATGCTGTGATGTCACTGACCTTATATGGTTACATGGCTATATTAGTTCAAATACATTTACCTAATATGGGCATGTGGCCATATAAGGTCAATAACTTACAAGAATCCCGCCCGCAGCTGATTGGGCGGGAGGCCCATGTAGATTCAGTGTTCGGAGGAGCTCAAGTTTGGATCGGGTTCAGTGGAAACCTAAGATCATCACAACTACCAATCAGAAACTGCAAAGTCAAAGGAACCAGGAACACAACCCGTAGCTGTACCTCATACATAAAGTCTGATAAGAAAATAATTTTCTGTGCATATCTTTACGACATATGGGACAAAGTCACATGAGCAATATTCTTTATTATGGGCGCCATATGCAGCTTTGCAGGTAACAGCTGCTGGACATCATCACTAGTTCTCACGTACATGCAACGTTTCCAGGAAGATCGTTCTCTAATCAGACCACACATGCCACACTTCCAGATGAAAATATGAAACATCTTTTACTATTCACTGTCCTTCTGGCAGCAATAGGTTGCCAGGATCTGTTGTGGCCATTTGTGCATCATACACGGTCCACAACTAGATGACCGGTCACTCTACATCAGCGTTTCTCAACCTTTCTCAGTCGCAGCACCCTTCAAAAGTATGCAAGATCTCAAGGCACCCCAGTCTGAAATGTAAAATACAAAGAGACCTTATCCCAGATAGGGCTTTGGTAAGGATTTTAAGAGGGGGACCCCATGCAAAGACATACAAAAAT